CCTCCGGGGCAGGCGGGAATCGAACTCATGCGGAAGTGGCTTCAGCTTCTCAGTGCAGTGCTTTAACCCGCTGCGCCACCAGGGAGGGCCGATTGATGTCTGTTTTTTATGGACAACTTATCATGAAAAGAAACAAGGATTATTTTACTTACAAGGGTGACCCAGCTGATAGACAGACTTTAATGTGTGCTTGCTTTTTCATTAGCAGGAATTTTGAAAGCCAAATCCCTAAGTCCAGTAAAAGATGTGTCCTCCAGCTTGCACGGCTAATCAGTAGTTGTGGGCCCAAATCTCATAAGAATTCATGTTTGGAGAAACAGAAGGAAGTAGGAGGTGTTTCTATTTCCTTATATCCTTTCCCTAAAGATGGACTTCTCAAGGAAGTCAGCATTGTCAGAACCTCAGTGAGTGGAAGGAAACACATTTACAAACTCAAAGTAGAACAACTAGGAAAGCCAGAAGGGAGAACTAAAAGTAAAGTCAGAAAAGATGTGACTTTAAGATAAAACTCTCCTGTCCCCTTTGCCGAACCCCATTGTCATATTTGTGAAGGAAATAACCTGTAGCTGCTCTCAGAATGTGCCACTGTTACCCAGGACTCCCTGCAAACATCTCTCATCACTTCAGGTAAAAATTAGAGGTCCCCCTCAAGTTCCCACCAAAAAAGTAGTTATTCTGTATTTAATACAGGAAAGAAAATGATATTTTCAGCAAAAAAAAAGGGGGGGGGGTGGATTGGAATCATTAACATTTAGTTTTATTATATAAACAGAGGAAAGCTTATGCAGATTGAATACCAGTTCAAAACCTTTAACATTTTGCTTCTGATTTTTGTCATGAGTTTTGCATTTCAATGGTTTTAGTCACTCAAGGTACAAAAGTGTAAAGGTGAAGTTGAAAGAGAGATAACTAAGCCAAAGCATGGCTTAGATCATCCTCAGTTTTTAAATAGCTTTATCTTTTCCCACTAACAAAAATCATTTTATCCTAACCACAGAGTAGCCAGTCAAGTCACCATAGCAACATTACCCTGGCAATTCCCCCCACAGCAAAAGGAACAGAGGGGAAAAGAGACTAGGAATATGCTGCCCCCTGGTATGCATGGTCAGCCAGCAGGGTTTAATGCTATTTTTAAATATTACAAACAAGGTTATGCTGGGCATACAGGGTCACAGCTGATCAGCAGAAGCTCTTTGGGAAGTGACTGGGGAAAGAGTTCTGGTGGGCAGAGACCATGCTGTCAACACTTGCTACTCAAAAGACAGCTAGCTACATCAAGACACCAAGATGTACACACTGTTTTCTTTCTTTCTTCTTCTTTTTTATTTTGGTGAAAAAACACCATAACCACTGCCAATGTTCAAATCCAGAATGGTTATCTGGAATCTTAGAAACATTTGTTTTAAATGCAGAGAATTTCACATCACATACAAGATGTATGCGTGAGCACCACTTCATTTTTCAAAAATGCCCTCCATTTTTATCAGATTTTTCAAAAATAATCTTGATCCTCAAGCTTCAAGGGTCACTAATCTAGTTGGGTCTCTCATTCTATCCATGTAGTGTTAGAAGGAAAACGATGTATCCAAAGTGACAAATGCTGCATTTTTCTGTTCCAGTCTCTCTGTTGTGCCTTTTAATCACTTCCCCATAGACAACCTCAACCTTAGTGGACAATCATTTTTCTTGGGACCTTCAGTCACAGTAAGTGGTTAACTTGGGCTAGTCAATTGACAGGCAATTCATGATTATCAAGTGGGCATTCATCATGGAGGCTATGTTCTTTGAGGTTCTAAGAACTATAAGCACAGAGCCATTCTCAGAGACTTTATAACATAATCAATGAGTAGCACATCTAAGACATTTTATAGGAATAAATGTCTATGTCAAGAGGAAAAAAGAAAGAGCTCAAGTAAACACCTAATTTTACCCCTTAAAGAACTGAAACAAGAAGAAAAAAATAAACCCAAATAATGCAGAAAAGAAATAAGTGAAATAAAGACCAAAAAGACAACAGAAAAGGTCAATGAAACTACAACTGATCTCTGAAAAGATAAGCACAACTGTCAAGCATATAGTTAGACTAAACACGAAAAAATGCATTAAAAAGATCATATTACATTAATGCCACAGAAATACAGAGGATCATGAACGGATACTGTCAAAATGAATGACAACAAACTGAGTAGTCTAGAAGACGCAGATAAATTTCTCTAAACATAAAACCTGGCCCTCCCTGGTGGCACAGCGGGTTAAAGCACAGCACTGAGAAGCTGAAACCATTTCCGCAGGAGTTCGATTACCGCCTGCCCCGGAGTGACCACACGGCGTGGCAGACCTCTCTGACCCGCCCGCTGCTCCCCTCAGCAGTGTGCTTTGTCGATCTGCCTGTTTTGCTCCCCACTCTGTCTATG